GTTATATGGGATAGGATCGCGGAGGTTGTTGTCAGATTGTGATTAAAGCGCTCTTTTTTCGACGGAGGTTACTTTAGTAGCAAACTTTGTTTTTGATTTATAGCAATTTTCGACCTTTTAAAAATGACCATTGCAAGCGTGGAGGCCATGAATTCGATGCATCCACAATAGTATTTCGAATAAAATTTTTTGACGTCCATATAGAAGGCTTCCACCCGAATAGTAATCCTAATGGAGACAGCTCTTCGGTAATGCCGGACCTTGAGCGGCTCTGACCTCATTCCAATGTCAAAGGAAAGTACATTATATCATTGGCTTTATAAGGCGACACAACAAAAAACTCATACCTAACGCCATTCGTAAACATTCGCACTCTCTCTTCCTTGCAACTTTCGAAAAATACGACTCTAGGTGCCGGAAATGAATTGAACTTACACAAAGAAATATGCCCGGCAGAGGAACATGAGCTAACGGTTATAACGCTATAGAGCCAAGAGACCGAGGAGCTGTAGTCGTGAAAAGAGGCGCACCAAAGTGGGCACACACCCATACCACCCCTGGAATGCAACACAACAAATGCAAAGCATCAGCAGGAACAATGGTCAGAGTAACCGTTAAATGTACAAAAACAACGAAAATGTTTTGAATGCAAATACAAAAGGCGAAATTCTGTTTCCGAGGCCTACAAGGAGACCAAGGATGTTGTTGGATTTGCACGCACACACGCACACACACAATTTACGTTGAAAGTCCTGCTGACGCAGACGCTGACATACAAAAAGAGGAGAGCGCCAAAAAGTTTTGAAAATTTCGGTAATAGAAAAACGAACGAACGAAACCAACAGCCGGGGCCCCGACGGAGACGTGTATGCGTAGAGTGAGTTGTGACGTTGAGGCGGGTGCACGAATGATGATGAGTTAACGCATAGGCACAATTCGTTGTTTTTCTACACTCTTAGAAATTGGTGTTGTTGAGCGACGATTAGCAGGAGCATCGCCAAAGAAGCCACTCCGACAATGCAGGGTTGCAACACATCGTTAGGGTGCGCGTAAAATGCGATAATTTGGCTGGGAGGCGGGCGGACGCGTGCCGTGAGAGCGCACGCATAACTCCCTCCGTGTGTGTGTGTGTAGGTAATTGTTCTTATTCGCATATGTGAAAATTCCTTTAGACGGGAAAAAGGCTCGTTCGCTCGCACAGGAAACGCGCGCGCAAATGTATGCGTGTGTACTGCTGCTGAGCTCAAATCACTGACCGAGCAACGATGCTTTGTAGGGGCAGAGCTAATGCAACGACGTCGTTGTAGACACATATTTCAGACAAAACTTCGCGTTGCAAGCCATTTATTGTGTTGGTGCGGAAACTACAAACTAATTGAAACGCACTGCGAACTCAGCGCGCGGGCGCGTTCTACAACAAAGCGCTGTGCCGCGCCACCAATCAACAACGCGCGCTTAGGCTTCGCTGATACGCTTTTTAGGCCTCCGCTCCTATGCGTATGAGTAAAGCCAACATCAAGGAGGTAGTCGAGGCAGCCAACGTAGCAACAACAGCTGTACCTTGAACAGCACCGTCGCGAAGGTGGATTTATCTTTTCGCCGGTGGCAGTGACGAGTTGCGAGTGGCACGCGGCAGAGCAACCCTTCGCGAGCTATATGACAGTGCTGCAAGTAGTTGCACTCATTGCTATTGTGTTTGTAATAGTTGCTCCCTGTTGTGCATGTGCGTTACGCAAAGGCGCTACATATCGTTTGAAATGACTGTTGCAACAACAAAACATTGCAAACAATTCTACACATACGTACGGCCAACATGCCAGAGAGGCCTGAAAGATGAAGGTACGAGACGCTGGCCTCTGCAGAATTTTTAGGTATGTGTATGTATATGTGTACACACAGTGCATTCTAACCAGGAGTGTAGTCTTCAATGCACAGACGAGGCGAGTGTGTTTGCAGTTGTGCGGGGTGGAGGTGGGGGTGATATGTCTTCTGCGCCTATCTTAAAATTTTGTCGAAAAACTTTTGCCCGCTGCCTGTGCCCATACAGTGTATAGCGGTGAAGGTGCCCTGGCAGAACTTTGTTTGAAATTCTTTTCGAAAATTCCCAAACGAAAGGCTCTCCCAAAAAAGGAGAAACATTTTCTTTTCGTTTTAGAAATTATTAATTCAGATGGTAAGAATAGGATACTCAAGCTCAAAAATTGGTTTTCTTGAGCATAAAAATTGCTTCCGAACATCGTCGGATTTAACGTCACGGGATCGGTGCTCTTTCTCTCCCACTCTCTCTTTAAGATACCAACTAATTTTGACCGTGTGATAGATATTATATTTCAATGTTTTTGAGGAGTCCAAAATTTTATTCTGACACAGATACTTCCAGAGTTTTGGTTGCAGGCATTGCCGAGCATCCATGCTGAGACCCAGACCTTAAGATCATATTGATAAGATGACTACGTTGCAGGCTCATTATTCTGAGTTCAAGTTTATGATTTGAGATAAGATTGCTTTCTAAGTCTATCGAATTTCCCAGACTATCTACCGAATAGAGGTTAAGCCAATGAATAGTCATTTACGTAGAAGCTGAAAGTTTAAGATATGAGTATCGGCACAAAGCCTCTCTCTCTGTAATGATATGTTGAAAACGGAGATGGGAGCTTCGCAAATTATTTGTGAAGATAAAGCTTGCGGTTTCGCGATAACTTCGGAGGACATGCTGTTCTTGTGAGCGCACAAGAATCGTTTGAAATACCTTTCCCGAGAATGAGTGGAAGTATACCGAGTCACATTCTATTATGGAAAAGAGGAGCTCTCTCTAAGCTTATAACATAATGAAAATAGGAAGTCGATTTGCCGAAAAGATGTCAGGAAGTCGAAATTTTAAGGTCTCAAGAGGAAGCAAGGAGCTACGTTTATATCTCTCCTGCATTCGTTGCATCTTTTCCGACGAGGTCGACTCATTTGCCACACATAAATTTGACAAAAAATGCAAGTTGCAGAAACCGGAGGCCCTTAAGCCGCGACGCACACGCACAGAGCACCGTTAGCACCGAAATTTTTAGCAATCCAAACCCTTCGCAGCTTGTGTTGAATACTTGGCTAACTGTTGTTGCTGTTGCTGCAAAGAGGCATATGTGAAAGCCGTCGGTAAACGCGAAAAACTTCGCCATTCACGCTAATGCCTAAAACAAAAACAAAAATCGCACACCACACCGTCTGAACTAAGGCGAGAGCAAAAGCAAAGCCAATACGCAACAAAGACAATGACGATAACGACTACAATGACTCCGACGTCGCCAATTTCGAGAACACCAACGACGACCACTACAACTACTACTACTACTACAACTACAACTAGTATAGCTACGTCGAAGGCAGTGATGATGTTGCTGTCGATAGAGTCGCCGACGACAACTCATAAGTGCGAGTACAACTACAAACGATGCCGGCAATTGCATTTTGCCGACGCTATTGCAACACGACAACAATAACTAGCAACGACCACGACCACAATGACGACGACGACGACGACGATTACGATGGCAACAACGACTCGGTCATGCATAGATGGAGGAGCACACAGTAAGCAAGTTGCAACAACGACGCCAGGCCGGCGTCGCAGCCAACGGTGGGCTCATTTATACGGTAGTTTGTATGTGCTAACTACTACTACAAGCATACCTTGAAAGGGAGCATTCTACTCAGAAGCCTGGCTGGTTGGCTCGCCGTCAGCATGTTCGCCCGCCTGCTTGTCTTTCCTTTCGCTGGAGGAGTGCGCGCACACGCGTCTACTCAGAGGCCAGCAGACTATGACGGCCAACTACTTACTTTAGTGGAGCGCTTTTAGTGTTTACTACACGGTGGCTGAGCTGCCAGCTACTGCCATGCTGCCGGCGGTGCTGTGCGCCTTGTCGTCTCGCCGCGATACCTTGGTGCGGACTTTGCTTTTTCCTTTTTTTTTCGCTTGGCACCTCATGAGAAGAGGCACATCAACCGAAAGGGCACCAACAGTAAGTGTACAAGTGTACGGTAAGAATAACAGCGCTAAGAGTCGCAGTGGCTTCGGTAGTCACGTCAGCAGCAGCAGGAACTACGGTACGATTAAAGGCAAGTCGGAGGCACAATATTTTAGACTATATGTGGATATGGAAATGTGGCTTACATACATGCGAGTAGCTCCGTAGCGACTTACTTCCTCGCTTGCTTGCTTACTTGCCGGCCTGCTTGCTTCCGTACGTCTGAATGTGCGCTTGTCGGTGGGTAGTGTTGTGTTTGATCTAGCTTTGTGTGTGTGTGTGTGTGTGTGTGTGTGTGTTTGGTGCTTGGCCGTGGCGCGCAGACATTCAGCAACAGACAGCGAAAATTTCGTCTCTCCACCCCACCGCCTGCTCCCGTCTTAGTCGCAAGTTGTTGCGATTGCGATTTCAGTGGCATTCAGTTTGGTTGGTTGAGTTGTGTTGAGTTCAGTTCAGTTCAGTTCAGTTTGGTTAGTTTTTCCGTAACAAAATGTGCGAAACGATTTCAGTCTAATTCAGACGGTCGTGCTGAGAAGACTTTGTTGTTGAGAACGTCATTTCAACGACATAACCATAAAATAACTAATACCAATACCACACCAGCACGTCGAGAAAACGAAACGGAGCAGACACGAGACACGCCACGCCACCACACGACACAGACGCAAACTCACACGGTCACACGCTACGACACGTTAGTTTGTTAGGCGGCATTCATAATACCAAAGCGCACTACTCACTTACACACGCACACACAGCTGCTTACGCACACACACACACACACACACACACACACACTCACTTACATATATATATATAAATATACGCATACACGCAAACACGCGCAGACACCGGCTCGTACAGTTTAAGAGGTGAAAAAATCGTCGTGTGCGGAAAATTCGCGCCGTCAACGCTCCCCCGAGCCCCCAGCGTCGAGTCCACCCGCCGTTTGTGCGAACCAACGATCGCGCACCCTTGCAGACGCCACTTGCTTGGTCACTACGTCATTAACCGCCAATCAAATAAAACGGGGAATAAAACGTAATAATATAAGAAATAATTATAACAACAACAAGTACAGTATCACAAAAAAAAAATATTACAAAAAATTCGAAGAACTCAGAGATTATTCTTTTGCGCCCATTAGCTGGCTGACTTTACCGCCGCTGGGCATTGCTTGCTGCGACATTCAGCTGTTGGTGTGTCTGCCGCCAAAAAACCGACCGGCTGGCTCACACTGCCAAACGACCAGCCAGTCAGACAGTTAGTCAAAAAGTCAGCTATCAAAGCTCGGCAGCCAGGGCAGCCGGCCACAGCGAGTCGATGAGTCGCGTTGTCTCCAATCGAAACGAATTGAATGAATTGAGTTGAGTTGAGTTGAGCTGCGTTGTGTGCCGCCGTGTTCTGTTGTGTTTACGTTGCATTGCGTTCGTTACGTTTCAGCTGAGGAATTGAGTGTGGCACGCGAGTAAATGAAAATCACTTTTTTTTTTTTTGTTTTACTTTTGGCATACAAAAAGCGTACGCGCGCAAACGAAACGGACGAGCGAAAGAAAAAGTTATAATACAAATACAATATTATGTTTGTTGCTGTGTATTAGTGACAATACATAAATAATATATGGAAAAACAAGGCGAAAAAGTGAATGTCTTGTACATGTGTATTTGTGTGTATGCGAGTATGTGTGTTAGTAGAAAATTGTGTGCGGGTATGTGTGCGGTTGTGGCGTAATCGTGCTTTTTCCGGCATAATTTTTTTGCATAACACGTACGTACGTTCATGCATGTGTGATATACACATACACACACACATACATATGCAAGTATGCACACAAATATCTGCTTGCACTGGCAGCGAAATATTATGCTGATGAGTGTATTATAATTTGTGCCTATAATGTGTGTGCATGTGTACAATTAGACGCACTTTTATTAGTAAAAATCGTACGGGCTCACCTACGCATACCAATAAAAAAAAAAACATACTTCCGTTCCATAGCACACTCATACTCACACATGGATATGCCTGTTGGAGTTGAAGTGCATGTACCCACAAGTGTAGTGGCTCACCGTTAAAAAAAATTGATATCGAAAAAAAAATTTTAAATTGACATTTAATAAAGAAATAACGAACTCACATTTACTAAAAAATTAACAAGAAATTAAAAAAAATTCGACGAAAATAAAAAAAAAATATTAAAATTTTTCATGTACAAAATAAAAACAGACATAAAAATATTTCACGTAAAAATAAATATTAAAATGTTAGAAATTCCGCTGAAAAAATCCTTGCCAAAAGTCATTTGAATACGATATTCTTGTGAAAATATATGCCATAAATAAAATTAATTTAAAAAATATTTTATTTTCCAATTTAATAAAATTGAATTTTGCAACAAGTTTGTAAAAATTAAATATAAATTTATAAAAAAAAAATAAAAAAAACCGACTAATATAAATTTGAATTGTTATTGTTAATATTTGTCTTTTTTTTTGTTTTTCTGTCGAAATTAGAAAGTTATAGTTTCAAAAATTATATAAATTACATTTAGTTTTTTTTTATACTTTTATTCAGTTTGCCGTCTGTATGCAGATATTCCAGTAACATTCAAAAGTTATAAAAAATTAATTTAAATAAAAATTTAAATTAAATTTTTTAAATGCGGTGTATTTCTGACATGAAATAAAAGCTTCTCATAAAAAATCATCAACCGTTCGGAGGTGGCTTAGTATAAACTGTAGGTCCTTGTATTTGTTAGAGAAACATCTAGACCCAAAGCCACAATTTTGAGCAGGAGTTCGGCCGAAAATCGCTTCAGCTTTAGGTTACAAAGCGCCAACTACATGTGTATAGAGATAGTTTCTTATTTGTGCCACTTCATAAAAGTAGTAGCTGGGCTTTTGGTAGAAAATTACTGAAATATTGCTAAATAGCTAAACTCGCTGCAATTTCTATTTAGTTTAAATCGCTTGTTACTAATCGTTTGACTCAATCAATCATGTCGCTTGTATCGCAACATGATTTTGTTAAAGAAAAATCTTCAACTTTAAAATTACTTTATTTCACTACTCTTACCATTAGAGGCAAGACAAGCGCAAACCACTTAAAAAGAGTGCCACACTTTGCTAATGAAGCAACTTGACTTACTGGGATTTCAAGCATAATTTTCCAATGGTTCTTATCACATCTGATAAGTGTCATAGCATAGATAAGTGTTTAAGAATTTCATTTCAGATTATATAATATCACAGATTCTAGGTTCTCAGAATTCATAAATGATGCTTCTTCTGGGATAAAATATGCAAAAATTTCTGTGTACGCAGATAATGCCCAACTGTTTAGGCAATGAATGAAGCTCACTTGCTATAAACTGACCTAAAAAATGTTTAAATGTTAAACTAAGTTAAATTGCCGCTAAACATTGTAAAGTTATGACCTTCTCCCGTCTAAGCATAGAGGCAGCTGCTTGCTTTAAAGATAATGTAAACTGGCGCAGTGTCGCTGCTTCATTTACTGGGCATCACTCTGGATACTCAACTGAGCTTCACCCCTCACACCGGTGTGCCAGTTAATAAAGCCAGTGGCATAATAAAATAATAATATTTGTAAAACGCTGGCCAAAGAAATTCAGGCAGCTACATTAGTGAGACCTCAGCTGTATATTTCCATATGAGGAGTTAATGTTTGCACTGGGATTTTCAGTACAATCATTCTCCTTAAAGTAGTCGTTTGGAATCGTAAGGAAATACTACGTGTAGGTTTTTATTTTCCCCTGAAAACAAATTGAACTTTCCATTTGAAGCGTACAGACATGTTTGCCACTTCTTTCCATAAACTTGCATTGTATGTGTCTTGATTTCCATTCTCATTGTAGCACCTCTGAAGCACCTCTGACATATCTGCTTCGCTCTAATATTAAAAAAGAAAAAAATAAACAATTTTATCGACTCAAAATCATTTATTAGTAGCTGCTTTATTGTAATTATTACTTACTTTTTATCATACTGGATTTGAGTTATTTATTTAAAATCAGCTGATTAATATTTCCTTTGTAAGCAAAACACTCTTAGTTCTGGACACTAAATAAACACCTGCCCATCGTGTGAAACGCTACAACATCGCTTTGCAAACTTCGATCGGTTTGAGGTATTTAAAACATAATTTCAGGAATGCTGATTTTCATATGTTCAAGTGTCAAAGATTCACCTGCATAAGCACGACCTTTAAGGTAGCCTCACAAAAAAAGCCCAACACACTGTAGATTACGCGGCCGGAAAATCTGAAACCCCACAATGGCTAACACAATAAATAAGTAGGCATAGGTTGCTCCGTTGTACTCAAAACAACCTGCAGCAGCAGTAGGATAACATCATACAAAGTTTCCTCGAACTCTCGATCTCCGATTCTCTTCCCGGATGAAAGTATTTAATATGATAATCTCTAGGCAAAAGAGTCGCAAACATCTTAACTTTCAAGCAAAAGTTTAAAATTTATCCAGACAAACAAACATCTTATAAAAAAATTCAACCGAATTAAAACATAGCAACTCTTCTTAGACCGATTACTAAAGGAGGAAAGAGAAGACTTTTCCGAATGAGTCGATTCATGGTTCATTTCCGCATGATTTTTAAATTTAAACTTTTATTAACACAATTTTTTCCAGATTGAAATTCATCAACGAAAAACGAACTGCAAATACTTTTTCTAAAGATTTACAGCCCGAGTTATTTAGAACAACCAATCATATTTCGATTAAGATATAAAATTTATAAGGACCAGTTAGCAAAAGCACTCATCATTTTAAGGCATGTTGGTACCAATAAAAAACTGCGCACTAAAAGTTTCAGATCTTGATCAGATTGCGGTTTACGAAAAAAATAAAATTTTTTTTAATTTGAAGAATCAATTTTTTTCTCAAGACCTTGTAAAGCGTTTGCTCTGAATTTTGGATATATTCTAGGTCACATTAGAAGCTTTTAGACGACAAGGTCAACAATTTTCTTCAAAGCAAAGCGAAATTGCATTAAAAAGTTATTTTATTTGAAATTTTAAGCATATTAAGCTTCTCGAACAATTTCGAAATAATCTGCTTTGAATTCATCATCAAATTTCCTCTAGATTTAGAAGTGTCGCAAACAAAATTAACAATGTTGCCCCAGCAAAAAAAAAAAACAAAATAAAATAAAAATTAATTTGCAATTATCTGAAGGCCAGTTGTATATTGCACTTTGAAAGATCTTCTTATAGTGGGACACTTGTTGAATTCTTTTTCTACTCTCTTTCTACTCCTTCAATATACTGCCGACAACGGTTTACTTTAGGGGTAAAGTCACTTCAAAAAATTGATTTTTTTCATAGGCTAAAAATATTCTTTGAACCTTCTAGAAAAAGTCACAAAATGTCTTATACGTGTCCAATATCGATTTCATGGCAATTTCCAAACCTCTTACCAAGCGCACTGGGCCGCTGAGATATCCAAATATTTTGCATGTCTGAAAACTTTAAATGCATGAGAATAACATTTTTTGAAGTTAGCTTGCAGCATAAGTCGAATAATTTTCAATATTTTCATTTGGCTTTTTTCTTACATCTGTTCAATATCATTTCAAAGAGGATGACATACGGAATTTTCGATAACCTATCTAACTTAAATAATAGCTATAAGCAATTAGTTGCCGTTTTTCTGATCGAAAAATGATTTTTTTTCTCAAATGCTTCCAAATTTCACAAAAATCAATATTTTTTATAAACCGTACGTCATTTTCTATCTTGATTCAATTTTTTAGCCTGTGTGCGGCAAGCCGTGGAGCTTCTAGCAGAAAAATCACATTACAAAAATGTCTATAGTTCTGCCGATTTAAAATATATATTTTTTTTTAAATTAAATTTTTGTCTATTTAAATATGATTTCAAAGCATTAAAATTGTATTGCCTTTCTTCATACACAAAACAGTGGCCTGATCCCTTAATTTTAGTCGTCACCCTTAAAAATAAGCCAATAACAATTAAAGGATGATTACGTTATTCAATTGCAGGATCATATTGAAATCCAGTACTTTTAGATGCAGACCAATCGTTGCGAATGATATTTCACGGGCCGTAGGTATGAATTTCAGTATGCTGAAATTCTCGTGGCTTTTATAGAACTTCTTACACGCAACCTCGGGTTATTTTTCTAAGCGAGCTCGTGCCTGAAGAGGTGTTTCAGCTGCTCTCAAAACCCTTTGTCGAACTCTTGTATAGACCAGATTTCCGCTTCCGTGGCTATGCAAAGATTAACAGACTGATGATGATTATTTAATTTAGCGAGTTAGTTCGAATCTATTGAAGCGGCATCTAGCCATTAAAATTATACCTACGCTCAAAAGTTGAAATGGATTGTATATTGACGTGACCGACGGTAAACCAGTGCGACGGTGTTACCCTACTCAGAGTTTGCACTTCGTTACTGAAAAGCTAGATTGCATGATTTTTCGCAACACATTTTTTTAAATATATCTTTTTTTAATAAAAAGTAAACCTTATCACTTCTAATATATCCAAGAATTTGTTAACGAAGTTTCATGTTGAAGCCTTTCTTGCTTAGAAACTCTAGTCTATTTTTGGCAAAAAATGAGAAAAATCGATTTTCTCGTGAGGGAATTCTTCAACAACCAAATCAATCAACATACATTCGAGTAGGTGGTAATCCGGTCCGGACCATAAAGTGGATGTATAAGAAGGCGAGTCACTATCGATGTATGAGGTCTGAAGTTGCCGGGATCAAACACAATTCCCCTCCTGTAGGTCAAATTCTGGGTTGCAAACTACAATACTTACTACAGACGGTGCAATTGTTGACAGTACAGGCCCGAGTAAAAAGTTTGTCTATAGGGGAGCAGCTCATGATCTACGATTCATTGTCAATCCCACCAAAGCCTTCCTGGCCGTAAACTCTGACTTGGAAACCGTTTGTAGAGACTTACTTTTCATCATCAGCCAACAACCGCCTCACGAATGGGTTGATTATGTTACGAAGAAGCAACGATTCGCTGATAGAAATTCGATCCATGGGTTTTTTTATCGTTAGCTCATTTGACCCCCATATATCAAATCCTCTGTGTATCCTGTTTTTTTCGAGTGGATCAAAACTGAGTTTAGTATAATTCTTAGCTCTAGGGGAATCAAAACTGTGCTCGGATGATGGTTGATGGATTTAATTTTTTATAATTAAAGTTGCATGGGTGTTTGAGTGAGAGAAATAGAAATGAGAATCTAATATTAGTTGGCAAGAGAACATGTCATACACCAACCAATGTGAATACCGACGGGAAATATCTAAAAATAAGACGAATCCTACTCTGCAATTCTCACCACATTCTTTTGAAAGGCGAAGCCATCGAGTTTTTTTTTTTAAGAAAAAAAATAGAATTGCTCACAACAAATAACGAAATTAAATCTGCAAAAATACGATAATAAATTGCGGTACATTTTATTCCAACTTCTGAACTCCTAAACAATTTTCTAACAGCACTATGTAATCGTTCTAAAACTCAACTCATGTCATTTGAAATTTAAAAGTGCATATTGAAACAAATTTTTAAAATCTTTTCAGACAACAGGAAACAAAACTGAACACAAAGCACAAGTGAAATGATGCAGTAGATAATATACAGACGATAAAATAAACATTCGCCGGCGGTTGTGAAAATAGAATTAAAAAAAATGTAAACACTTCTATTAACAAAAAAAAAAAAATAGAATCAACATGAATATTGCGACCGACCAAAATCAAATTTAAAACAACACTAAAACAAGCAAAACAAACGCACGTGATTGATCATCAAACAGCCACCGATAACAGCAATATGACTTCCAATTCACCACCACCACAGAGCGCCGGCATACGGCCGCTAGCAGCTGGTGAGAGCGCGACATCTTCATCACCATTTCGTTCGCTACTGTCCAGTCCATTGTTGTCACGACAACGTGCCAACATCGCAGCGCGCACATCGTCCACATCATCAGTTTCATCGCCCGCGTCGCCGCAGCTTCCGCCACCGCGTCCCGCTTCCGTGTTGCCGAGTTTTCTTGGCAGTCCACTGGCAACACCGCCGCCACCATCGCAAGCATCTGTGGCCACAGGGTTGAGTGTAGATTTAAGTCAAGAAGATCATGGTATACGCGAACAAGATCCCAAGCCAAGTCCGCTACTGCGTGAAGAGTCACCCATACCAGCCACATGTACGTCCAGCGCACGCACGCCCACACCCGGCGGAGAAAACACGGGCACACGTGCTGAAACACCGGCTGAGCCCAGTACGCCTGGTGGTACGCAACCCATTTCACCACACTCTTCAACGGGTTCCACAGCGACGGTGCCACAGCAATTTTGCCTGCGTTGGAATAATTACCAAAGTAATTTGACGAGCGTTTTCGATCAACTCTTACAAACAGAGTCGTTTGTCGACGTGACCTTGGCATGCGATGGCCGCTCGATTAAAGCGCATAAAATGATACTCTCCGCTTGTTCGCCCTATTTTCAGATGCTCTTCTCAGATACACCTTGCCAGCATCCCATTGTGATAATGCGCGATGTCAATTGGGCCGATCTTAAGGCGATCGTGGAATTCATGTATCGTGGTGAGATCAACGTTAGCCAAGATCAAATTGGTCCACTTTTGCGGATAGCGGAAATGCTGAAAGTACGCGGTCTAGCGGACGTGAGCGCGGGTAGTGTATCCGCGGAGGAAGCAGCAGCTGAGCGTTTGTTGAAAGATTTACATTCTCCCTCCAAATCGAGTTCACCCAAAAGAGGTGGTGGCGAAAGCGTCTCGCCTTTATTAAAGCGAGAACGGAAGGACTACCACGATGCACTGGGTGAGACAGAGGATCCGCTTGCATATCTAGATGCTGAGAAAAAGATGCGCTTGGGACGCACGGACTGGAATTTTGGGGCTGCGACCAGTGGTAGCAGCATTAGTGGTGACAATCTCAGCGGCAGTAGCGCCAATCACGAGTTGCGTCTATCACCACTTCTCTTGCCGCATCATCAACAACAACTACAACAACAAGCTCGTCATGTCCGCAAACGACGTTGGCCTTCAGCAGACATGATCTTTAACCCACCACCGAGTCCATTAAGTGGTCTTATTGCTGCCGAGCGCGCAGAGCGGGAGCGTGAGCGAGAACGAGAGCGTGCGAGAGAACGTGATCGTGATTGTACAATTATAACACCGCCACAAACGACAGCAGCAAGCGGCATAGCTCCCTCAAGCACCACACAGTCTAGTGCGCGTAGCACGTCGCGCCTAACACCTTCACTACTCGACACCGCCGCGAACTTAGACCTACCCTCACCATCAACGACTCCGGCAGCATCAATGTTGCGTCCAATGCGCACACCACCAGGTGTCGGCGTACATCTCACGCATCAGCAATCGCAACAACATGCGCACCACCACCAACAACAGCAGCAGCAACACCAACAGCAGTCGCAATCTCAACAGTCGCATCTTCTACACGCCCACCGCTCATCACCAGCGTCATCAGCGACAACGCCCACACTACCGTCCAGCTTGATCAGTGGTCAGCTGACAGCGACGCCTGTCGGCGGCAGCGGTAGCAGTGCCGGTCGTTCGGAGCGATTTAGTGGCGCAGCTGATTCGCGATTTGCACTGGGCTCACAAGCGGCTGCGATGGCGGCCGCTGTGGCAGCACAAATGGATTTGGGCGCCATGGGCATGCCGCATGGCACTGGCGCGCCACCGACACATGGTCCACCGCATCATCATGGCTCTTCACTGGCCGACGATCTGGAAATAAAACCGGGTATTGCGGAAATGATACGCGAGGAAGAGCGGGTGAGTACATTAAGTAATTTCATTCACTAAAATAAAATATACAGAGTTCTACGTACACGTTTAGTTCGTAGTGTAATTGAAAAGATAGTGAACTTTGTTGACAACAAACCAGTTTTTTACTCAGTTACAACCGCCTACACATAACTGGCGGATTAATGCTCAAGTGCTTGAAGTTAAGTTCAGTATAATAATCACTTAAACGACTGCTCACCGATGTTTGTGGTTTTATTTTGATTCCCACTTTCGCGTGTTCATTCACACTCTCAGCCGCCGATCAGCGCCACACATACAACTTCAATTAGTGGCTTCACTCACGCTGTGCTCATGTCGCTGTTGCTGACGTCACAAACTGTGACAGTAATCGGCTACGCGCTTTAACCTCTTGAAGGCTGAAATCTTGTGATCGTGCTAAAATGCCGTTAGTTCATATAAGTGCATATCTGCGATCAGCTTCGGGAGCCACACGCGACTCATTCATTCATTTATGTTTCTTATTTTCGCTGGTGATGTTGCTCGGCGCTTCGCTATATGATCTCTGAATGAGCTATATACATATGTAGTGTATGTGCATATATGTATACGGAGGTCGGTATGTAAAGATAATTAGTTTGTGACGCTTTGTTCGTTTCCTATGTTGGTTAATGCTGTTGATCGCTTAATTGACGGCGTACACTCTTTAAACGGTTGATGCACTTGTGCTTAAATATTGAGGCAACTACACCCAAGTAATCTTATCTTGGTATGAATGCCTCCGCAGCAGCATTTGTGTAACTATTAACCTTTCATAGATTCCGTCTGGTTCTTTTTCGTCTGCGTTGTCATCTAGACCGCTTATGGGATTAAAAGGCGCCAGCTTGGTCCTTGTAGAAGACACTTAATAAAATCAGATCCCCCTTCAGCCGATCATTCTGCTGAAATAAAGGTATTCCTCATCCTCTACTTCAACTAGCGTGTACTACATAGATTTTACGAGCTAAGAGCTTTCCGTGGGGTCCAAACAAATAAAAAGACTACACGGAAGCTATTTTGATCGATCAGTTCCCTGCCTGTGAGTTGCTTTCTATCTATATATATATGGTATTGCGGAGGCTTGCCTCAAGAAAGTTGGCGTAGGTTTGGGGGGACTCCTTTTTAATGAACTAGGCATGGCTTATTTAAGTCGTCCAGCGTGCACGCAAACAACGAAAACAATATTTAAGCAGCTTAACAGTGACAGCCGGTGTTCTTCAAGCAGTAATCCCCATTCGTACTTTGTCATATTCAGTTGTTCGAATGACGTTTCCACTATCAGCGATTGAATGTAAGGCTTCATCATCTCCGGGCGTTTCACTTTCAATACACATTCTACAGGTGAGAGAAGTATTCTCCCCATAAACTCAGTAAACTCTGAACATCGTTAACCAGCGATGAATGTGTTAAGGTCTTGAAGCCATCTGTAATTCGTCACATCTCTTCTTCAAATTTTTGAGAATTATAACTGTCGGCCAGTTTCTCAAAGCCTTCAAAAATCTTGGTGTCTTTATTTTTCTGTGTGAAAATTCGTCTTGATACCGACTTCAATTTACGGTACTCTCGCACAAGGCTTACATAGCGCTCGTTGGTTAGTAGGTAACCTGTTAGCTCTCCACTGCAGTGTGCCATTCCCCAACCTACCACCACTTTTTGTGTCATTGTCGAAAATCAATGTTTTATATAGCAGCGATACGTAGAAATATCGTCCTACAGTTGGGTTAAGCGCACTTTTGGTAAGTGCTTTCCAGGATCAGGAGTGAAAATTCTGTAGAAAACTTCTTGGCCCTTTGTTGTGACTGTAGCTTTCCGATGTCGAACTCTATCTGTGGATGTGAACGAACGTTATTTGCAACACAGAGATGGATCCTCGGAATGTAGTCATATCATGGAACATTTGGAATATCTGGTGCATCGATCACAAGTTGATCTATTTTTCGATCCGGACACAACTAGAAGCTGCCTATTAAATATTCTTATACAGAAATCTAATCAGAATCAACCCATTTGGTGTTACTACGTAATGGAGATTTCATTTTCCTGCAGTTGTGTCGAAAATACCTCCTTAGTCCACCCTAGCGGTAAAGTCGACAAGTACAATCGCGGCGCTTATGACAGTCACCTTTGATCACATCATCATTTTTTTTTGCACCCTGTGGAACCGCAAATCAACGATAATATTTTGAAGAACTTGTTCAAATATAACAGTTATTTATATTGTGGGTACCAAATCCCACGCGCAACCACATGAGGTTCGTCTTCTCACTTTGGCTGTCATCGAAATGGATAAAAAGCAAATCCACACATACAAACATTACAGCTGTTCATAATCCCAACAGCCTGAGAGTGCAATATATTTTGTTTTTGGATTCTCCTTAAAGATCTTCAGTTCAGAAAACTAAGCTTTCCATAATACATCTCGGAATATTGCAAAAATAATGAATCAAAGTCATCATCGCCACATTCTGATCTTCAAGGCATAGAGCCAGTGAGGTGAGGGAGCGGGTTTTCCATCTAGAAAATTCAATAACGATTCCAGCTGTCGATGTGTCATTTACGAGCATTAGTTTAAATTACAGAAATAAAACTCGAGAAATTTTATAAGAGAGGGAAAACCCAATTAAAGGAGAGAAGGAATTGAAAGGCTTAAAAAATACAATGAACAGAAGACAGAAGGCGAAGAATTCAAAACTCAGACTCTCAAATATTGACAGATGAAGTGTATTCTTTGTGTTTGCGCTATTCTACCGACGTTCATATATTGTACATATATGCATATACACGTATGTAGTTAAATAAATATTTATATATGATTGCTTTGTATTGAATACGGGTATATGTTTGTATGTATGTATATATGTATTTATATTGGCTTTTAGTTGCATTCATTCAATATTCAATTTCGTCCGATGAAGAGCGAGAATCAATTTCATTTCATTTTTTATAAGCAGATAAAAAGAAGATAAGTGTCAGTCAGTTAGACAAGAAAGAGCCAAGTCTGTGGCGGTGTGCGCACACTCGGCGGTGCGGCGCGCTAAGCGAGCCGATCGTACTTAGCAGCGGCAGCGGTTCCTCAACTGCAAACAGATTTTTTTTCCTTGCGTTTTTGTTTTGCGCTGTTCCTGCATTTCTTTGTATGCATGTATGTATATATGTATGTATAAAAGGCTTGTGTGTAGGCCTGCCTTGGTCTGCGGCTTGGCGTCGTGATTAATTGCACTTTTATGTGAGTGTTATTTTTTTAAGTATTTATAATAATTTTTAATATTTTTTTCTCACCCCTTACCACTGCTTCTTCTGAAACTGCTGCTTCTTGTATGTATATATGTATGACTATAGTTGCACTGCGTTGTTTATGCGCGTCATTAGATGTATTTGTTGTTGGTTGATTGTTGATTTTTGTCCCGGTTTTTGTTTGGCTTGCAGTTCATTGAACTGCTGCCGATGCTGGATGTTGCTGTGGCTGCTGCTCTTGGGTCTGTTGTCGTTTTTCTCCGCATGATGCGATCAATTATGGATTTTAAAATAAAAAGAAATAAAAAAACTAAAATAAATATTTTAAAAGCCATGCGGAAATCAATATAAGAATACATATTTATGTGTATATATATGTATGTACATATGTATCTCTGAGGGCAATAAATGCATGTGAGAATCAGTCCTTTGTTCGGCTTATATGGCATTAAATTTTATTTTTTTTATAATATAATATTAATGGCTGATTTTTAAATAATGCATTTTAAGCTTCTTTCGAATTTATTTTTATTACTCATAAAGGATTTATTTTCTTTGACTGTAGAAATAAATTTATCATAAAAAATGTGCTGTCTTCTGTGCGGGGAAGATGGGAAATCGTACAGACTTCAACACTTTCTAAGACCATCGCCTGTCTTTCTGTGTATCGTATTGTGAAGCCATGAGTTCTGAAGGTCTCTTCAGACTAGGACTCTCGTTCGCGAAATTTACGTTATTTTTGCTGCTGATTTTTATTGTTTAGATTTTATAGGTCGATTTCCTCCTGTTTTGCTCCATACCACGGACTGTTGTTTGGTCTCTGGATCGTACTTATAGAACCAATACTCGTCACCATTAACGACTTCACCAAAGTTGCTAGACTGACAATTTTCGAATTTGTTTAGGAAAAATTGAGAAAAATGCAGTCGAGCCTCTTTTGGGGCCTCATTTAAAATTCGTTTTACCTATCGAGCAGATTTGTACGTGTATACCAGATGATACTTAATATTCGCGAAACAGCCATGGCATTCAAGCCCAAATCATTGGCAATAAATTCTTGTGTCAATCGTGGGTCTTCTTCAATTTTGGACTTCGTCAGAGTTACAGTGACGTCATCAGCGGAAGATTTTGGTAGACATTCACGAGGCTCGTCTTATGAAGAAAAATGTCTTTATCTTCAGAACCGCTTAAAAATAGTCCTTAAAGATGGTGCACACATTCCCTAAGCAATTTGGCATTCACTGAATGTTTGCATTGGCTACCCTCATCTTGAAGCGAGCTCACATTTTAAGCATCTACTCTGGACTACTAGTACGGTACATATGTTGTTTATGAGCTCAGATTGAGGACTAGGAGTAATACAACAACTTTATCGACGGATCTTCAATTGAATTTACAACTGCCACACCGACGCTACAGATATAAATTCAATACTCATTCAGAGTCGAGTCTCAAAAGTTTGTAATAATTAGAAACTTAAGCAAATCTTCATTTAAATACATCATTTACCGTTACAAATGCTAGTGAATGAAACGACGGTTCGTGTACAATCACTTTATTAACTGCAAGACAAAATCACTGAATTCGTCTGTCAAGGCGGAAGGAAGTCAACAATCCACTTAACCCAAAACGGCAAAATTCATTACGCTCATTAACGCTATTGCAAACTTCAAACTAATCAAACGCAACAAAAACAACAGCGCGACAGTCGCTGCCGAGTTTATGCAGTTCAGACCGACACCAAACACAGCAAAGCG